GTGGGGACTCTTTTAGGTAGGGTGGCCAGGGAAGACCTCTGCAAAGGTGACAATTGAAAGGGCTTGAAAGTTCAGGAGCTGGCCATGTAAAAAGCCAGAGGAAGGGAGGTCCAGGCTGCAGAAACAGCAAATGTAAATGTGCTCAGGTGGGGAACAGGTTGGCGTGTTCAGGAGATGGAACGGAGGCCAGCCCGGCTGCAGTGGAGTGAGCAGGTAGCAATGGTGGGGCTGGAGGGGCAGCAAAACAGACCTTAGAGAGCTGTGTCCACCACATGAGGGTCTGCACCTCCTCCTTAGTGCAAAGGGAGCCAGGAGGTCATCGTAAGCAGGGGAGGGATATGATCTAGTTTAAGTTTTTAAATGGTACCTTTGGTTGCTGTGAGGAAGAAGACTTATAAAGTGGCAAGACTGGAAGGCAGACTGAGGGGCTACTGCAGTGGTGCAGAGGAGGGTGATGGTGGTATGGACAAGGTGGAGTGTAGATGGACAGAAGGTGGAGAACCAGGACAGGAAAGCTAATCCAGAGAATATTGGTACATTTTGATCTTGGCAAAACAGTCCCATGAAAATTTCAAACTTTGCTTTTTACATCCAACTTTATGTTAGATGCTGGCAATAAATAAATTGTATAATCCAGAGATTACATAAAAACAAAACCACACAGGCCCGGTAACTAGGCTTCCTTGGCATGTTTGTAATTCAAGATTTCAGATATTTTCTTACCTCAGGGAGACCTTCAATAAAAGAATGGATATTTGCTGCCTTGCTACTTCCTTGATCTCATCTAATGGAACCGCACGGCTGTTATCACCATAGGCGATGTTCTGGGCTATGCTGCAGTTGAAGAGCACAGGCTCTTGAGAAACGATTGCTATCTGGGAATGGAGCCACTGTACGTTCAGTTCTTTCACATCTACACCATCAAGTAGCTGCCAGAAGCAGAACAGAAAATGGTATGTTAAGATCTGACAACTCTATCATGTTACAGTACACCGTATTTAAGCCTATATAAATCATAACAAGGTTAGGAATCCAAGCTATTTCAAAGTATAATGTCACCCAAGGAAGGCTCATAAATCATATGTTATATAGAAGCAAACTGCATGCACTAAAATGCCGACTCCTAAACTCACCTGACATTTCTAGAAATAGTCACATTTCCCAGAGACCCGCCCAGAGTCTGGAGTAAACCCTGGTGCTCTGTACTGAAGTCAGATGGAAAATGACCAACTGTTCCCTCCACTATAATAGGACCTCCACCTTATTAAAACCCAGTTGGATTGATACAGTAGTCCACATACAGAGGTAAGTCATTTGCCATGTAGCCATATTTAACAACATGGACATATAACAACATTCAACTTATATTTGAAGAGCATGCCTGTGATTTGATGAGGACTCTCCAGGTACCAGTAAAATAGTGGTAAATAAGACAAAGCTCTTGACCTTCTGTAGTTTATATTCTACAAGGAGAGGCAGACAAGAAGTATACTAACAACTCAATAAACTCAGAAAAAGCAAGTGCCATGAGGACAGGGTAACGTGATAGAGTGACGGAGGCAGTGTGGAGGGTCTGCGGAGGGGTGAGACGGCAGGTGCATTATTTTCTAAGGGCTGTCTAAGAAGTCCTGAAGGAGGGGACATCCAGGCTGAGACATGAATAATGAGAAGGAGCCAGCAAGGAAGTCAGAGTAAGAACATTTTAGGAGAGGAAGGCAGTGGTCAGATCACAAAGGACCTTGATCAATGATATGGATTCTGGCTTATTCCAACTGTGGTGGGATACCACTGGACAATTCAAAGGAGATAGTGTGCTGTGCTCTGTGCAAATATATGCATGCTACATAGTTCGAGGGAACCATTTTGTACAACTCTGCTTTTAAGTATTTGTTGAGAATCTATAATGGAGAAAACACTGTAAACTGTAGGAGAATGAGAATTAACGTGACAGTCCTTGACTTTCAGGGGCTTACAGATTTTCGTGGGTAGGATGAGGCAGGACAAGATGCTCTGTGTGTGTGTGTGTGTGTGTGTGTGTGTGTGTGTGTGTGTGTAAAGTGGTGGTGGTTGGGAGGAGAGGATAATCAAAAATCAGAATATAAGGTATAGTAAAATAAGTACCAGTCAAGAAAAGCATTCCTTGGGTTCAAAGGAGAGAGATATTACATCATCTTTGAGATTAGGACACAGGAGTGAATGGGACTGATTCCAATAAACTTTAATCATGCATAAGATGTTGACAGTTGGGGGTGGGGTGGGCCAGTGGTCACAGCAGAAGCCTGAAGCAAGGAGGTGGAGGAAAATGTTATCTCTGTCTTACACCAGGACAGAATGAGGAGCCAAGATGCTGACATTAGACCTGTCTTCCAACACCCGATCAAAATTTCTGCTGCCTGAACAGTTGAAGAATCTTTGGGTATTTGTACTTAACTTCAAAGTCCTAACCAGCATTTCTGTTATTGGTTGAGATAGAGATTAGTTAAGGGTTAAGTTAAGAGTTGAGATAGAGATTTTTTTTTTAACTTCTGCATTGTTTGCCCTACTCAAACCTTTAAGGGTACTTAAGCCCAAGGGAATGTTTAAGAATAGCACCACTAACCCCCAGATTAGTGTATTTAAATTCAGTCGTACCACTTGGTCTTTCACAGCATCATATAATCTCTGCAGAAGTTGAACAGAAGTGCTTTTCCCACAGCCACTGCTCCCAACAAATGTGACTATCTTCCCTTTGTCAATAATGAGGGATAAGTCCCGAAAGATGAAAACATCTGGGCAACACGGATAGAAGAAAGAGACTTCTTGAAACTCTAAATTCCCTTCACATGTGTCCTGTGAAAGGAAGTTGACGTCTTCAGAAGAATGACTTGGTTAGATAGTGACATGTTGTGGCACACTGGCTAAGTGCTTCTGAAAATTGTGCCCGTTTTCACAACCATATTAATTTTAAAACATCGTGTTCATCTCTGTAGAACTGCTGACTACTGCACGTTGGTTTCTGTTGATTTCGTTTATATTTCTACGTCTGTATTTCTTGTTATCTCACCCACTAGCTTCCCTTGGCTTTGCTATGCAGACACGGTTGGTTCTGTACATTACCTGTTTGATCAGCTGCTCTGAATAAATGCATTTTTAAAAATTTGGTTTGTGCTCTACAGACCTTTATTGCTTAATTCAGAAGAGCTGGGGCCCTCATAAACTCATGTCACACGTAAACTCACATATGCATGTTATTTTTGTAAATCGGACTGTGTTTTACAGCGAATGTGCATTGCGTTTTGAATTCTGATTTATATTCATTTTATATTGATCATTATCTGGCAGTGATGCCTGACAGAAAGTTTAGTTTTCTATGTTTCAGTCTCTTCAGTGGTTGATGATTTGTAAACCAATACTTATCTAGACCAGGGATGTTTAAAAAAACTTACCAGAACTATCACTAAATGATGATTAACTTTCCCTTTATATTATAGGGGCATATTGGGTTCATAAGATTTTTGGTTCTTTTGAAACTTCATATATACTCCCAGTTGCATTTTAAGTATTATTAATTTTTGTTGTTAGGATAATCATAAACTAAGAAGGTATAAGTGGATTTGTGTGTGTGTGCGTGTCTGTGGGTGAATTTAATACATACAATTCCCTTTTTTACCTCTTATGTTTGCAGATATATTTCCTGTGAAAAATGGTGTCTAATGCAGCAGGACATTATTTACTTTACATATATTATTAGAGAAAAAAACCAAATAAACCCTAATGCAAATATTCATCCAAGACTAAAATCTTTGCTGTATAAATAATATTCAGTATAGGAATCAATCTTTTGTTTAAGAACATTCATACGGCATTAGGCAAAAAAAACTAAAAGTATATATTTTTAATATAAAATACATATTTTGGTAGTAGAGGTGAAAATTGGATTAAGACAAGAGCCCTTCCCCTGCTTTGTAGCCATAACATTACTTCATACAAACTTTGTACTATTTTACTATAGTATTATCTTTTGCAAAGTTATCAAAAAATGCCTTTATTTAATAAGTGGACATTTAAAATCTGAGTTATGCTTACTGGTTTTTTCCCTTCTTGGCTGTAGCTGTCTATAGTTGGTTTCTTTTCCAGCAAAGCAAAGAGATGTGCAGCCCTAGATTTAGCTTTGGAATATTCAGGTGCAAAAACAAGTGTTTCTCCAGTGGCCATAGCTCCACAAGCGATTACAGTAAAAACTCTACCAAAATATAAAGCATTTGAATCTTAGCTTCTTTTGAAAATAGTAGAGCTCTAAAAGTAAAGGGAAAAAGTGAACACAGGAATATAATCTTCTGGCCCAGACAGCACCACTAATGCCGGAGGCCCAACAACAGTTATCTCTTTTTTGATTGTCTACCATGTGGTAATCACCCCTTGCTCTGTATACCAAAATAACCTTTGGAGCTGGGGTAATCTTAAAAATTTCTCTTCCAATTAGAGACAGAGATCAAAGTCTCTAGCTAGTAAGTATAAAACTTCTTAGTCACCTTGATATAAGGCTTGCTTGCTTGGATTTTTGACAGAGAATTCAATTTGACAATAGGAAGAATGAGTCTCCAACAGTGAGATCTGAATTTACACAGTAGATATGATGTGAGGCTTTTCTTCTTCTTTTTTTTTTTGCATATAATGTAGTTAGAACAGATAATTGAAGCCCAATGGCTAGTTATCTGCCTGATGTGCTACACGATTTAGAGAGCAAAGCATGGGGACTGTACTTTCTTAAGGTCCCCCAAACAAAATCTGACTAAAATATACCTTAGCTATGACTGGAAGAAGAGCTTTGATCTTTTAGGTTTGCTACAGATTATGATTTCAGTTTCAAAATATGTTATAAATAAATTTTTTTTAATAAACTATAAAATGGTAAGTATGCAAATAATGTTTGGAAGCATACAGAATATTCATGGAATTGTCGTATATCACATGATCGTGGTTAAATATTTTCCTCTCATTTTCTATTTCATTTTAGATCTGAAAATACTGTACTGCAATGAAAAACAATGTGTCTCAGTAACAAAGCCAAAAGTATAATTCAGCTCAAACCAGACAAGTTTCACTGGCAATATTTAAACATCAGGCAGTAAAAAGATATCACAGAACACAGTTGCTTGTTTGCTGTGCTGGATCACAGCAAGGTAAACACGTCTGGGCTCCTTGTGAATTCCTCCCTTGATGGGACCTTCCAAAGGGTGAATGTTGATGCAATCTCTTCAGTGACCTGGACCTCAGATCCTGAATCTTGTTGGCTTTACAAAGATCAAACACAGTATAAAATATAAAAACAATCAGTCTACTGGGATGTCTGATGCTGAAATTATTGTAGTCACTAGTTCTGTGATGTCAAGGCCTTTTTAGTACTAATATTTACAGAAATGGTTTAAAGCTCAAAATGTCATTCAAAATACACGATACCCAGCTATAAACATCTGAAGTGAGTTTAGGTAACACAATCAGAAGTTTGTTTGTTTGTAATATTTACAGAAATGGTTTAAAGCTCAAAATGTCATTCAAAATACACGATACCCAGCTATCAACATCTGAAGTGAGTTTAGGTAACACAATCAGAAGTTTGTTTGTTTGTTTTTTTTTTTAAATTTGTCTTTAACGCAAAGAAAATATCAGACTGGACCAGAGTTGAGCCACAGTCTGATCCAAGAGTCAGCAGGGGAGGTGGGAAGATAATTGCATTGTGAGTCTAGGAGACCTGCATTCTAGTCTCACAAGGATAGAAGCTTCTTAGAAGTCAATAACTGAGAAAACAGCTTTTTCCTATGATTTGATATGTGCCAAAACATCTGCTGGTCCCAAAATTTCCTGTATGCAAGTAATTTTAAGCACTAGGCATATGTGTCCAGAGGCTATGTTTTTGTTAGGTACTTCTTAAAATGAAAATATTACCAAGAAGGAGACAAGGGCCTTCCATTTAGAACTTGTATCTGTGGGAGGTAAATGACCCAAAGGATGGAGAACAGAGCAAAAAGAAACATTTTAGCAGAGGAGAGGATACCAACAAAAGTCCTGATATTGTCTTTATTGTGAGAGTGTTGAGGGGAAGGTAAGTGGTGGGAGTTCATGTTGATGGGGGTTATATTGAAGAAACTAGAGGGAAAGTATGGACTTTGTGGAGATGGAATATCTGAGTTGAGTCAGGGACACTAACATTTATATTTTTTCTACAGATGGGCTCTGTATAAAGGTAGGCCAGTGTCCACACATCTAGAAACCTAGTCTGCTACAGAGTTCATCTTAACCTAGAGTGAGCTAAACTGAGATTCACTTCTACTCGACAAGTATTGATTGTACAACAACGAGTGCTATAAGTTAGACCAGATCCTTCAAATCTGGCCAAAACTCCTGGAGGCATTTAAGCTGAGAGTTTACCCCAGAAATACACAGAGGCCAATTTCCCATGCCACTGTTTGTCTTGGGGCACGTTACCCATTTGGGATATATAAAGAGAAATATTTTGGTATAATGATAAATATTTTAGTCACTAAAAATACATTTATCAAAGTGTTAATCTATAATAATTGCTTTTAATCCTCTTCATGCCTATAAATAAAATTACAAGAAACATTCCACAGTTCAGAAATGATTTTCATGTTGAACTAACTCTTGAAGCACAATTATGTAAAATAGGAATGAAATAAAACTGAAATTTCATTTCCATAACTTTCACAAGCTTAAATTGTACATGGAAGAAGAAATTTCATCTCTAGTGTATCCTTAGATGGTACTGAATTTATAGCAAAAATCTTTGGGTTGGCCAGCTGTGGGGGTGGGGAGGGTATTGAACAGGAAGAGGTCTGGGAAGGAGCAGCCCAGCGTCTTCAGTGTTGCGCCCCTTCCTCGCTGGTTTATGGGTTCTCCATGGGTTCCTGGGCCATTGTCACTGCATCCTCACTACACTGATCCTTTCAAGCATATCTGAGCAATGGGGAAATTCTCTCACCCATCACTACTGTTGAGATAATATTGGAATTTTAAAAATATCCTTTGGCTAGGAACACAAAAAGGAATAGAAATGAATAATCCTAGTTTTAGCACAATTGATCCAAACAGGCATACCATGCATAGTTACTGGTTCAGATTGATCTGTCTCCCCTGAATCCTGCTCCCATATCAGTTTGTGGACTTTTGGTGACTTACCCTCAAAGGAAGTATCGTGGCTCTGAAGCCAGACCACTGGGATCACATCCAAACTCCACCATTTCTTTACTAGCTATGTGACCTTGGAACTGTTACTTAACTTCTCTGTGCTGCTATTTCCTTATTGGCAAACAGGAGATAACAAGAATATCTACAGCTTACAGGGTTGTCGTGAGAATAAGTGCATAAGGAATGTACAGTGCCTGGAACATGGTAAGTACTCAACAAATGTCAGCTGTTGTTATCCCTCTCACAGAACTGAAAGTGAATGGGATGCTTTTTGTTAGAAAATAAGCTCTTATACTTGCGTAGAAATAGATTAGCACAGCAGGTCAAGTCACAGCTTTTGAAGCCCCCATGCAGTAAGTTTCCATCTTGGCCTGGGAGAATGAGAGTACCATTCCTCACAGAGGTGGGTGGCCATTAAAATGATTCCCGTGCTCACACTCTTTTCCCTCTCATCCAGGAACGACCCAGAGATCCTCTTCTTCCCACCTGACGTCCTTTCTTCAACAGCTGAGAGAGCGAAAATAAACAACTTGCATTTATTTGGTACTTGGATCTTACAGAAAGTCCTCAGATACATGAGATATTTGATCACCTAGGGGATAAGCAGACCAGGAACTCTTATCACTTAACAAATGAGGAGACTCCACCTCAAAAAAATCATGCAATTTGCCCAGGACCACATAGCTATGCAGCTGTAGTGTTGGGACGTGAACCTCTTGAAGACTGTGTTTTCTCCTGCACGGGGGACCTGCCCGGAGCAGCCTTTCCCTACATGTTGGGCTTTGTTACCACTTGTCCCATTTTAGAATCTTCACAGGGCCCTAGGTCTCCCTTGATTTCCCTCCTTTAGATCCCTTCAGTGGTTGATCTAGCCTCCTTATCTTGTTCTCCTCGGATAATCTCTGGGGAGAAGCCAGGTAGGAGTTGGGTGGCTGCCATGGCAGTGAACATGGAAAGAAGATTTTCCTGTTTTGGTTTGGCTAACTACGGTTGCTTTCCTAATCAGAATGATGACACTCACAGTTCCTCCAGGGCTACCAGCCTCCTAGAGCAAAGGTGGTGGAGGCCTAGTTTGCTTCTTCCCATCCTTTATTATTTCAAGTTATCAACCAGCATTTAATATTCCTTGAAAACCTACGTCCGGTGCTCTTTTGGCCAATAACCACATCTAGTATTGAAAGTCCAGTCTGATTTCCTGTCAACAGCTGTGTTTGGTTTTTAAGGGTACTAGGCCACAAACACATGGCTGCCTGGCTCTGGTTCCCAGCCAGTTTTCAAAGCTGTGGCTTTTATTACCAAAGGCTGTCACGTCTTGATTCTTTCTTACCTATCTGCTCTACCTAGCTTCTTGCTAATGTGTATAGCAAAGGGGGAAGAAACTCACAGAGATAGAGGAAGGCTCTGAAGTGGGTATGGAGAGTTACAGAAACCTCTGCTGGGCGCGAATGGTTTCTGGACTATATCGCAAAAGGCAAGCCTGCTAGAAACTAGCCTAAAGGCACAAATGCTAAATGAGACAGAAAAAAATAAACTTATTTTGGATTTCTAAAAATCTGTACGTTTATAGTGAAGAAACTAATCTAAAGTGTTGCCAGGGCTAGCAAAGGGAGAGGGGAAGTGTTTTACTAACTACACGTATGTGTATGAGAACCTGAACAACAGATTTTCTAAATGACTCTACACCCTGGCTGCAAGGCAGCAGAATGAAAATATTACCTCCTTAATTTAAATCTCATTTCAGGGAAACTTCTACAATAATAGAGATGAAGGAGACAGCTTCTACTATAAGACATGCATGTTGCCTTGTTTTTTTTTTGGACCGGTAAGGAGATTGCAACCCTCGGCACAGTGTGGTCTGCACCACGCTCAGCCAGTGAGTGCACCAGCCATCCCCATATAGGATCTGAACCTGTGGACTCAGCGCTCCCAGCGCTGCACTCTCCCGAGTGAGCCATGGGGCCAGCCCGCCTTGTTTTTTTTTAAAAGAGGTTTTTTCCTCTAAAAAGCCTTGCTACCCAGGGTCACCTACTTCGGCTA